CAAGGTTAGGTGAGAAGCTTTGCAGCTCCTTAGGGTTTCTTGGAATGCTTGTTCTTGGGATTCTGTCTCTTGGAACCCAGAAGACAAGCTGTGAGAAGCTCAAGCTAAACACAGCAGTCACATGTTTTTCTGTGGTCACCATCCCCAGCTGAGCTACCAGCTGACAGCCAGCACTGTCAGCCATGTGGGGGAGCCATCATGGATGTCCAGCTAAGGCTTGATTAAGCCTTCACATGGCAGCCCCAGCAGCTGACTGTTATCATGTCAGAGTCCTCAAATGAAAACTGCCCAACTGAGCTCAAAGAATACACAGAACCGTAAGGTAATAAGTTGTTCTTTTAAGCCATTAAGTTTTGGGAGAGTATGTTACTCAGTGGTTGATAACTGGTACAAAATGTAATTTATGTCTTAAATATCAGCAAGGTTTTAATGTTTTTCACAGTTGTTACATGACATTTTGAAGTCTCCATTTTTTTGTTTTTGCTTTTTTTACTTTTGACATACTCTAAACTTGATCCTTTCAAATAGCTTTGTGGAATAATATTGCTATTCATTAGTTTTTAAATCATAACCTTACAGATGAAATTCTTAAGTGTATTGTCAACCCATTTGTAGTCTGGTGAAGCCTACAGAAGTCTTTTATTTTTAAGTGAATAATAAGAAATTTGTAGAATCACAAAAGAAACTGTGGGAACACAGTTTTTGAAATACTTAAAACCCAAATCTGTGGTGTAGTAATATAGGTACATCTATGAATACATTAAATAACAACACTAGTGATGGGCACAATTATCATAATTTTGAAGCACCAATAAACATAATCTTTTTCTAACATTTTGTAACATTTTAGTATGAACAGTTTTAAACATGCAGCAAAGCTGACCCCACAAAGAATATCCGTATACTCACTGCCTAGATTCTCCCATTAATATTACTTATGCTTGCTTTATCATGTGATGTATCTGACCATCCATCATCAAACTATCTTAATGTTTTTATACATTTCCATGTAAATTCCAAAGCAAATTGCAATTCTCCATGAATAATTCAGAGTGTGTATAATTAACTGGAAGACGGACATAAGGTTGTAATTGTGATGTATATGAAACTATTGTAATCGGACAGAAAATGTCTGTTATTCCTATTGCTGACATTACTAGGTATTGCTAATATCACTGTGGCTTTTTCATATTTTCACAGTGTTCATATTTTAAAGCAATGCTAAGTTTTAGTCAGAAGTTACTGAAAATAAATATGTAAATTTGTTCACATTCAAATTCATGACCCTACCTATTAATAGACCCCATAGGGTCCAAGATCTCCAAGTTAAGGAGACCTAATAAATGAAATATACAGACTAAGTTAAAATTCAAGGCAAATATATAAACTAATATAGGCACACTTTAAAAATCAAGCCATAGGCCAGGTGCGGTGCCTCACGCCTGTAATCCCAGCACTTTGGGAAGCCGAGGTGGGTAGATCACTAGAGGTCAGGAGTTCGAGACCAGCCTAGCCAACATAGTGAAACCCCGTCTCTCCTAAAAATAAAAAAATTAACCAGGCATGGTGGCGTGTGGCTGTAATCCCAGCTACTCAGGAGGTTGAGGCACGAGAATCACTTAAATATGGGAGGCAGAGGTTGCAGTGAGTTAAGATCACTGCCCTCCAGCCTGTTCAACAGAGCAAGACTCTTTCTCAAAAAAATCAAGTCACAAATACAAATTCTGACATTTTTACCTTTAACATTTTACAGTGACATTAATGAAAGGAGCCTGGAATACTTCAAAGAGTCATGGAAAAGGAGAAGGGACAGTTAGTGATTTGACATCTGTATTAGCTATGGCTGCTGTAACAAAAGTACCAAAAAATAGTGTGGTTTAATACAACAGAAATTTACTGTCTCACAGCTCTGAAGCCTGGAAATTCAAAAACAGGGCCAGGCGCAGTGGCTCATGCCTGTAGACAGATCACCTGAGCCCAAGAGTTTAAGACCAGCCTGGGCAACATAGCAAAACCCTGTTTCTACAAAAAATACAAAAATCAGCTGGGCATGGCGGCATGCCGTTGTAGTCTCAGCTACTTGAGATGCTCGGGTGGGAGGATTGCTTGAGCCCAGGAGGTTGAGGCTACACTGAGCTATGATCATTCCACTGCACTCCAGCCTCCGTGACAAAGTAAGACCCTATCTCAAAAACAAAACAGGAAAACAGAGGTGTTGTTAGGGCCATGCTGTTGCTGATGGTTGTAGGGGAGGATTCTCCCTTGCCTACTCCAGCTTCTGGTGTTTGCTGACAGTCCTAGTAATCCTTAGTTCCTAGCTGTATCGCTGCAATCACGTGCTGTCTTCTCCTGTATCTTTACATCATCTTCCCTCTGTGCAGGTCTGTCTCTGTGTCCAACTTTCCTCTTTTTATAAGGACACCAGTCATATTGGATTAAGGCCCACCCTAGTGACCTCATTTGAACCTGATGACCTCTATAAAGACCTTAATTTCTAAATCAGGCCACATTCTGAGGTCCTAAGGCCTAGAATTTCAACACAGCTTTTTGTGAGGTCACAATTCAAACCCATAACAACATCAGAACATTGTAATTCAATGGAACACAAATTCAGGTGTACTTTGAAACTAAATATTTCTAGAATTAAAATTGTCCGGAGTTACATGGTCTGGTCTTACTCTCATACAACTCTGTGCTAACACACTATGTTTGTTCTGGATATCCCTTTATGATTTTTAAGCACTCTGAAATGTAAAAAGTACAAATAAGTAATCTCTTGCATTCATATTTTAGCCAAAACATCAGGCTCCAAATTGCTTTATTCATTTTTCAGTAGTGTTGCAGAAAATTTTAACTGAAAATTATATTCAAAATACTGTTTCAAATTTCATAATGGAAATGTAACCAATTAGTCAACAACAGTTATTGAACAACCCAAGAGTACTGTACTCCCTGAGGAGAAAAAAACATAGTTTTTAGGCACCTATAGCAAAATGCAGCAAATAAGATTTACACATACACACACACACACACACACACACACACACACACAGATACCCAGTAGATTCAGAATCAAGGCAGTCTTTTTTTTAAAAAATCCTTTTCTCTGCCAGGCGTGGTGCCTCACACCTGTAATCCTAGCACTTTGGGAGGCCGAGGTGGGCAGATCACTTGAGGTCAGGAGTTCGAGACCAGCCTGGTCAACACGGTGAAACCCTGTCTCTGTTAAAAATACAAAAATCAGCCGGGCATGGCAACGCATGCCTGTACTCCCAGCAACTCAGGAGGTTGAAGTGGGAGAATCACTTGGACCCAGGAGGTGGAGATTACAGTGAGCCAAGATCGCATCACTGCACTCCAGCCTGGGCGACAGAGCAAGATTCCATCTCAAAACAAATAAATAAAAGTAAAGTAAAAAAAATTTGTCTCCACTTTTGTGTCTATTTTAATTTTTTCTTCTGATTTTGAACTGATTAAAAATTTCATTCATATCTGCAACTTTAGTTGTAATATCAGGTTTTACTTTTTTAAAATTAAATGCTGGTTAATACTGCCTCTACGCCCCCTCCAAAAAAAGAAATCCGGAATCATTCAAAATCAATCTTATGAAGTTGTCTTCATTTTGAGTAAGATTTTTTTAAAATGTAAAATACCACAGAGAACATTTTCAGCAAATGGTAGCTATTATAATTGACTGTAGATGCTGGATGGATGGTGCAGAGTTATCAGTGGCTTAAGCCCCTGCTGATAGCACTGATATCTACGTGGTTAGCTGTGTGGCCCCCTTTAGTTGTTTCATCCTTTATAAAATTTTACTCCAAACTATGTTTTTTGAGGAGTCCTGGAACATTATTATTTTTAAAATAAGTAGGAACCATAATTCCAAAGAATTCTTAGACACATAAGGGCAACATATGGTCCTTTAAAAATATATAGATGAGCAATTCTTTTAGAGTAGGTTGAAAGAGACTGAAAGAAAAAAATCCAGATGCCATTTGATTTCAGTGAGAGAAGAGTCTAAAAAGCACTCCTTTAACTTAATAGATCTTTTTTGAGAGGTATATGACATCTCTGTATCTTAATTTCCTTCTCTTTAAAGTTTTTTTTTCTTTTCTTTTTTTTTCAGTTCCTGTTTTGCCTCAGCCTCCCGAGTAGATGGGACTATAGGCACGCGCCACCATGCCTGGCTAATTTTTGTATTTTTAGTAGAGACCAGGTTTCACCATGTTGACTAGGCTGGTCCTGAACTCCTGACCTCAGGTGATCCGCCCACCTTGGCCTCCCAAAATGCTGGGATTACAAGCATGAGCCACTGAGCCTGGCCTCCTTTTCTTTAAAGTATTTATGTTAATACCTACTTTCCACATTGTTTGAGCCTGAGTATATATAAATTTCTTTGTGCATATAATAGAAGCTCAAGAAAAGTGACACCCAGTTTCTGGCTCCCTCTGTCACCTCCCATCACCTCAATCTCTTGGTCAAAGTGACCATTCTCCTTGGAAGAAAAAAATCTCAATGAAATAAAATAATAACCTCCATTTCTTCTGTAGTAATTGATCTTTGAATCTACAAGAACATCAGAATTTGGAAGAAAAAGTAAAAAGTGAAATAGATGGTTCCTTCCACCTCTATTTGTTTCTGAGCAGCTTCTGGTGGCCAAATGTTTTCTTGGTAGCATATTCCCTACCGTAGAACCTTCCAGAACGCTTCAGTCCGGTGAAGAGAAGGACAACAGGCTTTCTAATCACACAGTGTTGCTTGCTGAGGGGGAAGGCAGAGGTCCGCCTGTATAATCCGATTTCATCAACTCACACTAATCACTACTGATAGTAGCAAAATTTAGCCTGGATCTGCGCTGTTAATCTAGATTGACAGGAGGTAAAAGGAGAGGAACGCAAGGGCACAGGAACCAAGGGCGGAGCGCCAGCACTGATTTCCAGCCTTGCTCTTCCGTCTGGGGCTTCTAATTTACTCCCCTTTGGGGCCTCTATTTTTCTTACCTCATAAACAAATGTTCCTGGTTGTTAGGATACCAGCCTTTCACGGAGCGGTTTCATCAACAACAGGTGCGCAGTGAGCTTCTGGAACTGCAGGGAGAGCGATAACCTACGTCGTGAGGCTGCGCAGAAGGTACTTACAGGTACTCATTGTACCTGAGACTATGTATTATTTATTGAAACTGAGCCCTGAATTATCTTTATCCTCTGAGCGGCACGAGTGCCTCCTAAAATGGATGCCAACAGCAGCTAATCTACAGGAGCTCCTACATGCTCCTTGCTCTCATTATTTTTCTTAATAGTAAGTGGTAGTTACCAAGCTGCTTCTTAGAGCTTGGAGAGTAACTGGGAATTGCAATTGAACAGCCGAGAGAGGAACACCTCTGTGATTTTGGACATTTCCACGTGGACTCAAGTTTTAATTTTTTTTTTAAGGGTCTACTCCACTTTGGATGTTGTGGCTATATGGAAGATAACATGTTGCAGATTCTGCCTCCATAGTGATCAGAGTAGCAATCTGTGATGTGTGTGTTCACACGCTTAATGCCCAGAAGGAAGATGGGCTATGGGAAGGTTACTTTCACTGTTACTTATGATATCTGTGTCTGGCAAACCAGAGAACTTTTTGCATTTGGGTAACAAAGACATTTGGAATAAACTCCATTGGATTTTCCATGTTGGTGAAACTACTGTTGACCGCTTCAGTACTATATGTTGCCATGCCAAAATCACCTAAGGGCAAAAATGTCTCCTGGGTAAGTAGATGATGATTTTATATCGCTTAAAAAATGTATTTTAAGCAGAAACACATGCTTTAAGAACTTAAAGACATCTAGTTGTTTCATGGTAAGAGTATTTGGAAAACCTTCAGAAAGCATTCGTCTTAGAAAAGCATATAAATATCTTTGTAAGTGTTAGAAATCCTTTGGCAAAGTCATGGTGGCGTGCTTGCTAAAATATGAACTATAAGACATGTAAACACTCAATTTGTTTTGCCATTTTTAGGTTTTTAGGTTTGCTTCACCTTCTCATACACACAAATAATTCATACAAAAATGCATTCATACAAAGTCAAGGTTATGATTTTAATATGTTTTCAACTCCAAAACTGTTTGTGTTGGGTAAAGATAGTCTAGATTTCTTTTTTTGGTGGTAAGTCAAATGTTAAGAGTAGAATATGCAATTTTCATTATTCAGTGATATTGTTGGTATGTTCCTTTTTTCCTTGGAAACAAGATAGCATAGCTATTTCTTAATTTTACATATCTAAGTAATTTTCCTCAATCAATGATAGACATGTATAAAGTTTAACATTTCAGTAATAATAATGTCATGTTAATCCTAATCAAATTTGACTTCTTAATATTATTTCAAGGTGGCTGGGGGCAGTGGCTCATGCCTGTAATCCAAGTACTTTAGGAGGCCGAGGCAGGCAGATCACGAGGTCAGGAGTTCAAGACCAGCCTAGCCAATATGGTGAAACCCCGTCTCTACTAAAAATACAAAAAATAGCTGGGCCTGCTGGTGGGCGCCTGTAGTCCCAGCTACTCAGGAGACTGAGGCAGAAGAATCGCTTGAAACCAGGAGGTGGAGGTTGCAGTGAGCCAAGATCGGGCCACTGCACTCCAGCCTGGGAGACAGAATGAGACTCCACCTAAAAAAAAAAAAAAAAAAAAAAAAAAATTATATATATAGGTTCAAGGTAGTTTCCTACCAAAAACACAAAACATACCAGATTGAGCTCAGAATAATGAGAACAATCTGTAAACTCTTAAAAAACAAGGGCTTTAGTTTCCTGCTATCATGTTAAGTGAGCTTGATACATTAAAATTAATAGGCAAATGGATTCCTTTCTATTCTCTACAGAAAGTTGTGTGTCTAAACACCAAACTTTTGGCCATCAGCCCATGCAACCTCGACCATACTCATCATAGAATTTATTATTAGATTATGATTATGGTTTTCTTACAATTATGTAGGAAAAATAAATAATTCCATCTTTTGGGTCAAGAAATAATTTTTACTACCTTAATTTGAAATTCACTAATTAGATTATTCTTACTTTATATGAAATAGCACAGAATTTGTCTAAAAAATGGTTATTATGGGTTTTTTCCTGTTACAGGCAGTTATTGTTTAAGAGTACTTAATTAAAAAAGGTATACCTTAGTTTGAAACACAACTCTCAAATTTATTTCAGAAAAATTGACAAAATTTTTGAAGTTAATTCACTTTTAATAGTGGATACTTTTTGTCTTGATATTATTGTTATTGTTGATTCTTTGCTTCCTCTTAGTAAAACCAAGAGATAGGATTCAGGGACCTTTGGCCTAACTGGTGAGTTTCTTTCCCTCCCTATACGGATGGGTCCAAGGACTAGTTCTGATGCCCAAATGAGAGTTTACTACTTTGTGCCAGCACATAAACATTAAAGAAAGAGTCGTTTCAGAAGTACATCCCCTCCTTCATCTGATTAATCCTCCTAAAAGATTAATTCTCTCAAAGTAGTGCCTGCCTAATGGCATGTTTCTACCATGAAAGCAAAACTTGAAACGTTAAGCTCAGACTACCCTTGGGTTGGGTTTACTTCATACTCGATTATGCTAATACTTTTTGAAAAGTTCAAGTTGTTGGCTAAAAATGTAGGAGCACTTATTTCAAGAGAGTCATCATAGTTTTATTTCCTCAGGTTAAAATTATTCCCCGTGTGTCCCACACTATTACAAAATGCCTCTGTACCAAGGTTTGTCCAAAGTTGAGTTATGAGTTTAATGACTGCCATATTACAGGGAATATGGTCATTTGGTTGGTGTGTGCTGATGATGCAGTGGTCCAATTATTCATGTTAATGACTATGATAAAATTCCTTAGTTTGATTTTAGGGCATGGAGAGAGACTTTGAAATGTTGATCATTGCTTCGATTTTCACCAGTTGTGGTTGTTTTAGGTATTGAATGACGTTTCTCTGCATTTTTTGGCTATGTGAAGTGAAATGTATCCGGTCTTCCTGCTTTTGCCATTGGCCAGTTTCCATTTAGACATTTACTTAGACCTGAGTTCAGGAGGAGAATAAAATGATTCCTCTTGTTTCTTTAAGCACATAGCACACTTCCCAGTGGTGAAAGAAGGTCATATAACTCTTCCTCCCTGGCCCCTTGGGCACGTTTCCGAGACCTGCTTCACTCCATATGATAAATGTGAACACATCTTACGGAACACCACAATCCCTAGAGTAGACCACCGCCTTCTTTCTCCTGTTCATGCCTGGTCAGCGTGGTATCTAGGCAACTGGTTAAACTGTGCTTGACAGTGTCGCTGTCTGTGCAATGGAAAAGATGATAGCAACCACCATTTTCTCTGAGATGTGCTGAGGGTTATTAGATCATCCTGGTACAAGGGTTTGACAGTCATTCAACAAATGTTCACAGAGTGCCTCTTCTATGATCCTCTAGGTACCAAGGACACAGCAGTGAAAAAGATCCTTGAGAATCTCCAACATCATGGAGCTTACGTTCTAGGGAAGGGAGAAAGACAAAAAGCAAATACATAAGTAGTACAAAAGATGGCGAATGAAATAGAACAGGGAAGGGGTTAGGAAGTGCCAGGAATTGAGAGGCAGTGTTGCCAATTGGTTTGTTAAACCTATTTGAGCAGAGACTTGAAGAAAGTAACAGAGTCAGCCATGGGAAAATGTGGGACTCAAGCATTCTCTGCCAAGGAAAAATGCTCAGATGCAAAGGCAGGAGCCTGCCTGGAATGTGAGGAATGGCCAGAAGGCTAATATGGCTGAACCGTAGTGGTGTTCTTTCAGTTTCCTATGTCTCTTGTATGTATTTGCATATCTTTAGTAGCTTTTCATGGGGGATTCCAAGACTGGCCTCAATTCCTCTGTTCAAATCCCCAGAGAATTGTGACATGTAGGAACTTCCTAAGAAGGTGCACACCAGCGCCTGCCAATGAAGGTTATAGGTGACAGGAGGGAGGGGGCAGAGCACAGCGGGTGCCCATCTCATCACCCTGACACAGTCAAACTTCATAACCAGCCCTGAAGAGTTAAGAATTTTGTTATTTTTATTTTTTTACAGATATCGAGGCAGTTTTACAAATAAGCATTATGGTGTTTTTATAATAGAAGTTATGAGAAATTTTAAGTTAATATTAAAGATAGTATTAAAAAGGGGAATTTAAGGATACAGATTAATGGGACACAGCACTTCCAATAACAGTGCATACTTTTTGTCAGAAAATGGTACACAATTCCAAACTTTATTGTAGAATCTCCATATATTCTTTGACTATAAAAATCCGTCTTGAAGTTTGTTTTTTGAGACATGATCCTGCTGCCACTTGTTCTTGACAACTGCATAGACCCCTAAGGGCTGTAGACCTGACTTTATACCACACTAACCGACTTTGCTGAAAAGTCACTTTGCCTTAGCAATACAAAAATAATGGACTCCACTTAGGATTCTGACGCTGGGCAAACTCCCTTGCTGTTCTTTTAATTCTCAGGAGCTGAAATCAGTCACACTGAACCTCCCGGTATTCCAAATCTATGGTCCTACATATAACAATGATTACTTGTATATGGTACATTTCATTGGTTGTTCTTAATTTTTTTTAAAATTATGTACCATAAGACACTAATATACCACTTATTTAAGAAAATGAAGGGAAGCTGTAAAGAACATAAATAAGTGACTTAGGTTCACATAACAAAGAATGCTAGAGATTAAATAAGAACTCAGAATGTTGGGGTTTGCTTTCTGTTTCTTGATTGAGATACCCCTAGCAAATACATTAAGTATGTACATGTTATTATAAAATTAGATGTTACTACAAATTGGCTAAAAGACTAACATGACAATTAAACATACTGCATAGATGATGAGATATTGACTCATTTTTGAAGTAGAAAAGGAAAGGGTTCTTCCAGGGACAGGAGTCCATCACCTTTCCTTGGTCATTGAACATTATTTCCATGTAGATGTCTCTCTCAAGTTGTCAAAAGTAACTATTCTTTTTGCATGTTTTTTTTTCCCCCTCCATGATCACTGTATCTGTCTTGATAAATTTTTCCAAACTGAATGGCTTTACGTTATTGATA